TAACTAAGTTCTCTCATACATCGTTTGCTAGGGAGATATTCCTATCAATCACTTAAGCGTGTAATCCATAATTTAAATTTTGACTTGGTCATATCTAGGAGCTAACTATTGGATTCCAAGGGAGGTTAGATGACTTAATGCTTACTTCTAGCTGCAAGTTACTCTTATCTAACTTCTCGATTCTTTCTTAGTCTGGGCGCACAAGGGTCTACACCCTCTGATCATTTCTCACAATCATAAAATGCTCAATCTATTAGAGATGTTCCAACCTAGATCATCATCTAGCTAACCTCACTTTAATGCCATAGCTTTGTACAGATAAACACGCTCTATAGGGAGAACATACAGTCATGCACTTGGAGCTAAAACATACTATATCAATACACATACAAGTCAAGCTCAATGAGAAGATAACATCCATCAATGACCTAGAGCATAGATAACAATAGCCCATCCTTTTTTCTAACATGGTGGAAAACATATAAAGCAACATGCATCACAATTCTCACCATAGGGGCATTTTGGTAATGTCTTACATCATGCATAACATATTCATCCATATTACCCATCTCATATTCTAGTCATGCATATTCTCTTTCTAGCTTCACATGATACATAAAACAACATGCTTCTCGGGAATTTCAACCTTGGGCATAATGATATATTTTCCATTGCATACTCATCCAAAAATGTCATTTCGAAGTCTTTAACATGCATTATCTAATTACTTAAGGTAAGGAATGCCCACATGGTAGCACGTCCTAACGATACCTACAAGTATTACTCGCCTAAAGTCAGTGTAATAGTTTATGGCGTGTGAAGAGCTCCAAAATATTCCAAATTTCTCCGGTAGGTACTAATTCAAGTAAATTTATTGTTAGTTTCAATATCGAGACAAAAAACTAACAAAGAGGAGTCGAATTGGTCGAAAAGCACCTCTCATGTGCAGTCACCTTAAGCATTCGACTTCTTCGTCAAAATCTCCAGATTTCCAAACCAGTTTTCAATTCTTTTCTATTTTCTTTCTATTTTCATAACTTCCCTTAAAAACTCAAATTAAATTAATTTCTTTACAAAATTGTAGATTTTGAATCCATCTTTATTAAGTCATTTTTCTCATCATTTCTAGTCAATCACACCAAGAAATAATGAGTCCAAAAATTGTCCAAAAACTAAAATCTCAAAATTTTTCAGTTTCTTATAGTTTATCGGAACACCACCTTCTGGTATAAATCAATTCTAGGTTCCTTCAAGAATCTTTTGTGAAATTCCTTCAATATCAACATACTTAAAATTAATATCAAGATTCAAAAGACTTTTGAACTCGAAAAAAGAAAAAACGAAATCAAGAACTCAAAAAGCATACTTTCCGTTCTTCCTCGATTCTTGACGGATTTGAATAAATCAAAAGCACATAATGGTTTTTCCCAAGCCAATGAGCAATTCTTGCGAAGAAACTCTAGCGAAGTTTTGACTCCAAATGGTCGTTTTCAGTGTATTTCTACTTTTTCTCTCTAACTCTGATTCAAGAATCTCTAAACTCTAATATTCTTTTCGTTCACTCTTTTCCTTTTTCTTTCTTTATTTTTCTTCACCATTAGTCTCGAGCTAATTTAGACCTTGAATTAGGCAAGAGGGCCAAAATGACCTATATGCCCTATCCAGTTGAATTTGACCAAATTTTCTAATGTTTTACTATTTTATTTTATATACTTCTTGAGTTTTTGGGATTTTTCTAAGAACTATCTTTTCCACCTCATCTCAAAATTCAAATTAAAATTTAAAGTCTAAGAATCTTAATAAAATTTTAAGAGTTTAACTTTAAGAAAAATTGAGTTTTTAAATTTTTCTTTAGGACTCGGGTGTTACACCCATGTTCGAGTGCTAGTGCTAGCTAATGAAGCCATGAAATAAAGTCATTGTTATAACGATTATGTACTTTTTGCTATAATTTCATTATTAATGATAGTTTGAAATTGTTTTCACGATTAGTCTGAGTTATGAATTGTCCTCTATCCTTATTCCAATGGAATTTTCATCTGTTTGCCATGATTATGAATGTTTAAGTTTATAGGAGATTTGTACGATAAAATATTTTAAAATAGTTTTTTTTTAACAAAACCGTCATGTTATGAATGTAGTAATAATTTTATTTTTAATGGAAAAAGTAATGTCATTACTTTTTTATCCTCCGGTCTCGGTATATTTTTTATCACGACTTACTAACTTGAAAACTTAAAAGTAGAGTAAAATAGACGATAAAACATCAGTAAAATTTTTCACTTTTGAAACAAAATATAAATATATTTTATTTAAAAATAAAAACAATTGAAATCTAGGTGGCATTGTATGCCATCGGCTTCAAATTGGCTTCCACCCTCCAGCAGGCTTCTTTTGTCCGTTCAAAAATATAGAAAATATAGAGTGAGAATAAAGATGGCCTTCTATTAAAATCTCATAAATTTATATATAGGATATGCCTTCAAGTCTATTTAGTCTATTTAGTGTGTTATTTTAATGTTATTTGATTTCTAAGTGAAAGGTTTGATTTAGGTCCTTGAATTCTAGTTCTAGATCTAATTCTCTATATTTCTTTTAATATTACTTAAACTTAAGGGTACGTGATTGTTACAAGTAAAATTTGAGAAAAGCCATATTCGTTACTTACATCTAAGTTAATGTTTGGGGCATCGTTTTGGAGCTTTCAATACCTGAATCACCCAAAATTTGCTTTTCTAGGTTCCTCAGAGAGTCTAGATTCAAGAACCAAAAAGAATTTCATGATAATCGGTTGAAAGGGGTTCAATTTTAAAAATGACGTGACCAGTTAAACTGAATTGACTATGTTATTATCTTCTCTTTAGACAGCTGATAAAGACGTGCGCGCTAGTGTCTCTACTGCTTGAAAATGGCATTCCTCAAAGATGGTCTTTTGGTCTTGGTTTCTTCATGAAATTTATAGACTATGAATAAAGAAAGAGAATGAGATTGATTTCATATCTTGAAATGTACTGTAGCTCGAGTTTTAGCTCGCCAATTTTGGTTGGAAATCACAACTCTCACCCGAGCAAACCCACATCCACTTTTTATTTGTCAGTCCCGTTCTAGACCTTTATAGCTCAAATATAAATATAAATACAACATATTGAACAAGAAACACTCTCAACTCCAAAACCTGGTCAATTGGCCCAAAAGTAGGACAAATCCAACCACACCATGACAAGTTTCGCCTCCCTTCAAACCCTAAACTTTCATGTGGCATGCAACCTTTATACGTGTCAAGCAATGTTTGGATCAAACTACTTTATAAAATCATAACCAAGAGTGTTCTTAATCATCAACTATTGGTTTCTAACTTTTTCCTGTAGTCCAACCTTTTTGGATATTTGAAAAAGCGCAAAAGTAAATGGCAGACAGCTCTCAAAGTTTGAGCAACCAAGTTGGAGAAGCCAAGGGCCAAACACAGGTTCACTGTGCCACTATTCTTTTATAAATGGTTCATGCTAAATATGACTATATGGAGTGATGGGTAATATAGTTATTAATGTGATTATGTAGGAGAAGGCGAGTAATCTGATGGATAGGGCAAGTGAGGCAGCCCAATCAACTAAGGAGTCATTACAAGAGGCAGGACAACAGATGCAGGCTAAAGCACAAGGTGCAGTTGATGCGGTCAAAGATGCCACTGGCATGAAGAAATGAAGTTTTTTCTATTACCATTTCCTAGTGTTTCTATGAATAAGGATTTAAATTCAGTTGTCATTTTGATTATTATGTTTTCACTCTTGTATCATGCATAGTCAAAGTGTCCAATGAAGCTATGGTCTTAACTTGCCCTTCCTTTCAAACCTCTAAACGTCTTTCATGGAGACATCTTAAAAAAAAATGTCTTCTTGCCTACTTCGAACTCCACATTCCTATGCCTTACCACAGCCTAATTTTTTCTACCATGAGTCATGCACATTCTTGTCTTCATCTTTTGCATGGCTGGCTTGGACTAATCTGGTGATTCCAACAGTTTGCCCATTTCATTCTCCTAGAACACATAATTTTTCGTGCACAATAGGCATATCATGTATGTACTGACGTCTCTATTTTATTAGAAAAAAAATCTTTATAATTGGTATTAGAGTGATTTTTCTACTAGTGGTTCGGGGATGAACCAACGCAAAAGCTAGTGGACATATGACACCCGAATAAAAGAGGTATACATAAATGAACTAAAACCACATCTGAATGAGAGCCATCCTAAGGATAAGATGACTAAGAAAAAATTAAAAGAATTGAAAGCAACTACCTATAACAACAAGAGGAGGTCGATTCAGGTGAGATCCAATGTAGATCCAACTTTCTATTCACTTGTGGGTTTCAGGCGGGGAACCTCCTCGGCTCCTCTCTTCTCGACAATCCATACATCCCTTATCAGTATATGGACAATCTCTCGAGCACAGGTTTAGGTTCGGCCTCAATCAGAAAATAAAACGAAGCACCTAACAACGTATCTTCACAAACCAAGAACTACGAGATCGCCCCCTTCATCCTGGGGTGACGGAGGGATCATACCATTCGAGCCTTTTTTTTCATGCTTTTTCCGAAGGTCTAAGAAAGCTCCCATCAATAGGATTTTCTTAATCCTCCCTTCCCGAAAGCGAAAGAACGTGATTTCCTTTCTTCTGTAGACCAGGAGATCTGAAAAATCAGAACGTATAAGAGGTACCTTGTACCGATCTATAAAGTTTGCAACATGCATGTTTTTTACGATGTTAGCATGTAGGTTGTTCAAAAAATGAATAATAATAATAATTTGGGTATAAAAATCAAAACAAACAAAATACGAGAGAGAGCACGATAATCAAAATGAGAATGAACAAGAATGAAATACTAATCATAGCGACTACCAATAAGAAAAATTGCATTATTACAATTGATGACTATGCATTACTGAAATAATAGTTTATTAATAATAATTTAAATTAAGTTCACAAATAAAAAATATAAGACACCAACAAAATACAAAAGTGAAAACATAATAATTAAAATGACAACTTAATTTAAATCCTCATTCATAGAAACAATAGAAAATGATAATAGAAAAACTTCATTTCTTCATGCCACTAGCATCTTTGACCGCATCAACTGCACCTTGCGTTTTAGCTTGTATCTGTTGTCCTGCCTCTTGTAATGACTCCTTAGTTGATTGGGCTGCACCACTTGCCCTATCCATCAGATTACTCGCCTTCTCCTACATAATCACGTTAATAACTATATTACCCATCACTCCATGTACTCATATTTATCATGAACCATTTAAACAAATAATAATGACATGGTGAACCTGTGCTTGGCCTTTGGCTTCTCCAACTTGGTAGCTCAAACTTTGAGAGCTGTCTGCCATTTATTTTTACCCTTCGTCAAAAAGTCTGACTAGAAAGAGTTGGAAACAAAGGATTTTGGTGAATAGAATTGTTGTTGTTGAGTACGAACACTCTTGGTTGTAATTTTATAGAGTAGTTTGATCCAAGCATTGCTTGACACGTGTAAAGGTTGCATGCCACATGGAAGTATAGGGTTTGAGGGGAGGTGACACTTGTCATGGTGTGGTTGGAGGTGTTCTACTTATGGGCCAATTGACTAGGTTTTGGAGGTGAGAATGTTTCTCGTTCAATATGTTGTATCTATATTTGAACATAAACCCTTCTATGACTTTGATACTCTTTTGGCATTGATGTTTTCTTTTTTCTTAAATTTGACTCTCATACCAATTGAAATAATTATTTTCATTTATATGCAAATCATACTCTTTTACTTGTCCTTATATATTAAACTTTCAAATAACCAATTAGGTTTTTGTTTTTAACTTATAAAAATTAAATGTAATATCTGAGTCTTTATTCGATATTTTAAATTTCTGAAGGAGGGACACGTGTTGCTAAATGGGTGGAGAAGTGGCTGGCCCAACAGTAGACACGTGATGCTTTGTTGGTTTTAGAGGCGGCGCGAAGCTGATCTGACCCACAAGTTAACCCAAACTTGTCGACTCGATTCGCTCGCCCGATCCGTGAATTGTGCGCACATCCGAAAACTCAAACCAAACTGCTTGCGACACGTGTCAGCATAGGAAAAATTTGAGGGATCTACATGCTGCTAGACTTGAACTCACGTAGTTTGACCTGAGGCCATCAATCAGCCGACAACCGTTGGCGGTACAGAGGTGGATTCTAGGCAAGCAATATTTGAGTTGCTAGAACGTGCTAGCATGCGAGCTTATCTCACCTTAAGTTGTTAGAATATACATGTTTAGAACTTTAATGAGCTTTTAGAATATACATGTTTAGAACTTTAATGAGCTTTTAGAATATACATGTTTAGAACTTTAATGAGCTTTTTTTCGGATAAGTATGCAAAGCATGCTATGGAAAATTACAAAAATTCCTATAGTGTGAGAATAAAGGAGGGATGACTATTAAAATGTCTTCTGCTGTACTAGAATGGAGAATGAAAAATTTATTTATTTGCACTTTACATGTTAGATGGACATTATCTTCCCGTTGAATATGTTTGAGTCGTATATCAAATTGCATGCTAGGTTCACGTGAATGTATGTATGAATTACTTATGCTTAGTTGATTTATACGAATATCGTTCTATTAGGTCTTTATGAACATTTAGATCATGATTTCAATATATTAGGTGATCGATAAAAATATCTCCCTATAAAACATCCATGAATCCGAACAAGTTTAAAGCGGTGGAGCTAGAGTCACCTATGTCGCAATATCTACCATTCAAAAGTGTGCATAGATATGAAAATATTATTACTCAACGAAAGAATACAGATTTAAGAATGAGGAAAAGAATTGGGATCGAATGTTCTATCTTCATTGATATTCACGACCTTTAAATAGGATACAAGATACTGAATAATATCTACCAAGAAAATATAAACTAACTAAATCCTGATAATAAAATAAAATATACTACTATTCAAATTCAACTGATTAAAATATCTAAGATATATTTCCTAACTAATATATTCTGGAAGATTACGAATATCATATATTCCATAACTAATTCAAACTAAAATAAGTTGCACTAAATTGTGACAACCTATGCTTTATCCTGACGTTAATCTTCGGAAGGAATAATCTTCGTTTGAAGAGATTATTCTAGTACTACAAGTTCACCCAAAATCCTTGGCTGTATTTCTAATTTGGGTTTAGGAAAAAAAAAATTAGATATTATAAACTAAGTTAGAGATGTTAGGTGGATAAGATCGATTAATGAGTACGACCACCGTTTGGCAAAATTTAAATATTATAAACTAAGTTAGGGACTTAATTAGAGATGGCAGGTGAATAGGATCGATTAATAAGTTCTAATCTGACGCGATGAACTCATTCGGGTTAACTTAAATTTCAAGGGACAAGCTTGGACGAGCTTCAAGGATTAAATAGAGTTTAAAATACCTAAGTAAATTGCTTCACTACTAGTTTGGTTAGATAAATTGTTTGAAGTATGAACAGCGCGTGCCTTGTGGCCCTCCACATATCGTATCTTGTAATTGATATGTTTGCTTATTGTGTTATGATGGATACTATAAAATATGTCATGTTATGTTTTTCATGCCGACACGTTATGTCATTGATGAATGTGCTATGTTATGAAAACATGTTAGCATATTGTACACTACTTTACGTAATGACACGAAAGGATTATTTTATGTATGAAACAAACGAAGATACATATTACATCATAGACACATGACATGATTTTAACGACGGAGACCTCATGCATATTGTATGTTTACATACATTGAGATACTTCTGTATATGAATGAATTCCACGTAATGGATCACATGCATATTGTATGTACGCTAGTCAAAAAACAGGTCTAGGGGTACATATACGAGCTACTCGAATTGAAAGCTTAGACCAAGGCCATGAAATGATGTTAATGATAGGTCACACACACGATTGTATATGATTGCATTTCCTAACCCCAATAATGGAGTCACTTACTGAACATTTCTTAAAATACGCAAGCTATATACTACTCTTACATTTTACGTAAAGACAAGGTACATCTACATGGATGATGACGTCGCAGTGATTGCCATGAGACTGAAGCTAGGGTAGTAGAATTCATGTTATTGGTAGCCCTTAGAAAGATTAGGGCATTGTTTTATTTTATCTAAGATTCACGTGATTTGTTTTCTGCTGTAATTATTTTAATATTTTTATTGTAACGACCATATTTTTCTATTATTGTAAAGTCATTATTGTAAAGTCATTACTGTATGCATGATATGAACTTTAGTGCGGAAATATTCATTTAAAACAATTCATAAACAAAGTCATGGATTTAAATGTTTAAGGTAAAACCTTTAAGACAACACAAAAACATTTAAAATGAAAATGAGAAACGATACCAGGAAAATAAAATAATGTTATATTCTAACTTTAGACTACGAAAAGATGAAATGCATCTACCCTAAGACAAGTTTTATGGTCTTCAACGCGTCGTCACCATCATCCATACAGAGGTGTTCTTGCCTTTACCTGAAATGTAAGAATACCACATAACTTAAGTATTTCAAGAAACACTCTGTAAGTGATCCTTGTTGGAGAAGAAAATTGCAAGCATATGCAACATGGAGGAATCTATCATTTTAAAGATCATTTCATGGCCTTAGATGGTTTTCTAGTTCAGGTAAGTTGGATGTGCTGTACTTCTCTACATATGACCTACACATGTGAACGTGGGCCCACCAGGCTGGTTTGCACACCCCCTAGGCCTGCTCGTCAGGATAGCACTAAATAATGAGCTGTGCCAGACATCCAAAGAAAATAGCAACCGTCATAACATCATGGTGAACATAAATGTCATAATCATACTTGTAATCTACGCGTTTGTACTCATCATAACGAAGAAGTATTCTAATGCACGTGAACACACAGTTATGAATGAGGTCCCCATAGCTTTCCATCATTGAATAATAAATTATACAAGATAAATCGTCAACTTGAAAATGATGTGTACATAATTCTTGTACAATATTTCATTCATAACATAGCTTTAATGACATGGCATAAGGAGGTTTGTGCATCATAGATTACCGTTTCATAACAATTTTATATATTACGGCATGACAACATCTTGACATAGCTGAACCTGGCATATATTAGTATAACATGTCATAGCTTATCATGGCATATCTTACATATCGTAGCATAAATTGGTGGATCGTAATATCATATAGTGTATCATAACATAATATAACATAACATTGCATATCAACATATCCCACATATGACACGTGCAAGTGCCACGAGGCATGTGTCATCGTACATAAATTAATTCTTCCAACTGAGCCAATAGTGGAGTCACTTACCCTAGTTGGCTTAAGCTAGAATTATTAATCAACTTACTTTAAAGTTTCTACTCTAATTTAAACCAAGGGTATCAAAGTCATTTTCCATATTAAAATCGCTTTTGCAAATTTTCATGGCATTGCATCAAAGTCAACAAAATTGATAGAAGGGTTCTTGTTGATATAATCGTTATTTTTACCAAATTCACCTACTAAACAGTACAAAATTCTAAAAACAAAGATGCCCCACTATAATCCATGAGAGGAACAATACTAGACTCGTTATCGGTGAATCTCGCTTTCAGTGTCGATCCTTCCTTTACCGATTGAATCTACTTAACATAGAGGAAATTATTTTGCAATAGAGATAAGTTACGGTGTGGGGGAAATTCTACTAAAATAAAAAATATATCTCTTTTTCTTAATCCAACTCACTTAAATGGAGTAAATTTTTTTATTAATTAATGAACTTAGATGATTTAATTCCTTAGAGATTATAATTATGGTCTCAAAATGCTATAGGTATAATTAGATCTTGATAAACAAGATTCATTGAACTAGTATCTTCTGTTTCAACTAAAAAGTAAATTTAGAGTTGTAACGCCTTCAAACTAGATTGGATAAATTAAATTTTAGCATGAATAACACGTAATTCGAGGTCAATCTATATGCTATTTTTTATATTACCTTAAGTTTATAAATTAAATCTTTAAGAGTAACCTATCACGAGCGCTAATACTGGTTAACCGGGTATGAATTTATAGACCAATTCCAGTGATATTTAAGAGTCTTAAATATTATGATATTGTCGACAAATACTCAAATCCAACACTTCGTTCAAAAATGGAACTTGGATTTGTGCGAGTGAAAAGGAGTGAAAACGAAATAAGAGAGAAAAAGCAAGCCCAAAAACATAAGGTTCATCCACATAAGATTCTCTCCACATACAAATTGGATATATCCATGTATGCGTCTTGGTTCAAACCCTAATGGCTCTTCACAGGCATCTACGTTTTTTGTGTCCTTCCAAGCCATAGATTCATGTGCTCACCACTTAAGTTATAAATAGAGGGTTTTAAAGGAAAGGGTTTGAATATAGAGTTACAA